ACAATTGTTCAGGTAATTAGTGTGTCCCAATGGGTCGTAGCGTTGAATGTAGTGAAAGGTCTCAAGTTCAATTCCCAAATGCCCCATTTTTCGGCAATTATTAGTCATCATTGAGTTGACCCAGCTCGGATCTGTAAAACATATTTAAATTAATCATTTATTAAAATATAGTCAGGGATAAATTAGACAATTCAATATTAATTTATTTTATATTAGTTTAATAAAAATAATCGAAGGATACTTTGGTAAATGCTTCATTTTTTGTAACACCAGCCATGCTAATTGAAGCATATCTCATATAAGTTTAGAACACGAGTTATCTCACCCTAAACTAATCTTATACATCACGTAACCACCCATAACACTCACCCATAGCACGCGTAACCCCCCATAGCACAGACCCACTTCTTCACTGCATGTTGGATTTTTATTAATTAATTTATTCGCAGGAGAATTATATTTCCTGAGTTGTTTTTTAGATGATCAATTTTCTATTCACTTACCACAAATTAAGTGGTTACCGTGTGTAAAAAACAACCGATACATCGGTTTTTTCTTTTATATGTATACATATTTCATTGTCACACCCTAGCTCATTCATTTTTTCATCTGTATATCCTGAAACTTTTGCATAATTTCTACAATGGTTCCCAATATATATTACTACATTACTACAATAACTCACCAAGCCATTGTAGTAATGTTGTTGTAGTTTGTTCCACATTATGACAACAAAGATGTAATTATTAGTCTTGATATGCTGCTCATGGATTCCAAGGTGATATGCAAAACATTGTTTTTAATATTTTTATTTATTTTAAGTACGTCTACAAAACATTTTATAGTGTTGATAATTTATACATGCATTATATATACTTATGGCAGGGCGGCAAGGTACATGCCAGCATCAAAAAGCAACATATGAATACGTTCAAAGCTATACTGAAGGAAGGAAAAACATACATGTTATGTAACTTCATCGTTAGTCCAAACAATGGGAACCCTCGAATCACTGCCCATCGGTACAAATTACAAGCATTGGATCAACCACCATCACATCATTCGGTGCAGAAGAAATTTGTAACGATAGCTTTGACTTTATGGAGTTTAAACAAATTCAGAACAAAAACAAAGATGATTGGTTAATAGGTAAAATTGTAATTTTCAGTCTCTTATTTATTTTCACTCGGTTACAATAACATTAATTATTTGACTGTTTCTTAGATGTATTGGGCATGTGGTCGAGACAAACCCAACAAAGGAGATAGTCATCAACAGAAGGACCAATAAATTACTTGATGTAGTTCTTCAAGACTTGGAGTAAGAATAATTGTGGTTTCTAATTAATTATAATTGCAACTGTTTTATCTAAAAGCAAATTTTCTAACCGACTTCAGCATTCGTCTTTTAATTATATGTTGAATGTTTTTTTTTTCTTTGTTTTTACGTGGGCAGTTGTAACATAATTAATTGTGTTTTGTGGAACTCATATGCTGATAAATTGGATGGATTCTTCGTCAATCACGACCCACAAAGTCCGGTTATCATTATATTGCAACTTTGCAAAATAAAGAGTTCTAAAGGTAGATATCGTTATTTGGTCCAAGTAGGTTTCGTCTTTATGTCTTATTTATTTTCATAATAAACGTGTCAATATAATATGTATTAAATTATATCACAGGTAAAAAGAATATTTCTTCTCACTGTCACGGATCAAATTTGCTCATTAACCCAAACTTGAAGGAGACTCTTAACTATAGGGACATGTAGTCTATGTGCCCTTTCTTTTTCACCAGGTATATTTAAAAACCATTTTCAACAAGAATATAAAGGAAAATAAATAAAAGCCAAGGTCAATCTCTCCAAAATGTTGGTATATATCTTGAAAAGCTTGTTTTCTCTCACGGACAACTGTACCTAGCTATTTCGAGGGTTACCAATCAAAAATGTTTGAAGATACTTATAGTTGACAAAGAAAGAAATACTTCAAAAAATACAACAAACGGTGTTTATAAAGAAGTATTTCAAAATTTAAGGTAATTTTCTATTTACAATTTTTCACATTAGTTCTTATGCAAGCCTTATATTCAACTATGCATAATGTGTTCTTATTGTTTCACAGAGTGTGAAGATGCAATATTATTAAAATGAATGCATTGCCACAAAGTTCGAATTGTCACACAACATAAAAAATTATTGTTTTCCATATATTTGTTTCGTATTTTTTCTTTCATTAATCTTTTTTTTTTTTTTTGTTATTTGAACTCATATATGATGCTATTGGGAATTGTTAATTTGTAGTATTGTCTCGGGTACCGGTGAAGTTCACGCATTTCCTGAGCGGTTAAAGTGCAATTTTTAAGTGTTTTTTTATATGATTTTTTTTAAGTGTAAAGCAGCAGATGTGCATTCTATTTGTGACAATTTGTGATTTATTGCTCCGACTTAATAAATGTGTTGTTTTTGTGTCATTTTCATTGAAATATGTAACCACGTGCAATGCACGGGTTCAATTACTAGTATAATAGTAAAAAATAAAAAAAAAACACATGTAATTTAGAAATCAAAATATTATTTTAATAAAATTTTACGAAGTAGTTCACCGATAATTATTGGTAACATATTTTTGAAAAAATTAGAAACCATCAACCGAACCATTATAAATGAGTTGGTTGAAATTATCGACCCGTTCCGATAGATTGGTTAAAAAATTATTATCTGCCCCGTCCAAAATTGACGGAAAATTGAGTTTAGAGACACCATGCAACGAATTAACGAGTTAGGTAAACACGTGTAAAGATTTTTTGTTTGGGGGCAAAGTGCAAAACGAACCTTAGTTTAGGGACAAACAGCTTTTTACCCTTCAAAATATTGATAATTATGAATATATGAGAGGTTGTCTGATAATTAGACTAGAGTTCAGGGGTGTTTTTTTTGGTAATTTACCTTAGTTATTTTGAAGCCGCACCGTCGATTTTCTCTCCGGCGGTCTCCACTCTTCCGTGAAAGCCAACGGCGAACATCTCAAAACATCGGAGTTGAAGATGAAGCCCATCTCACCGGGACCTGCTACTCAATTTCACCCAGCAACTTAAAACATGTCAATCATGTCCAAAACTATGATAAACAGAAACCGGCATTTCATCAAACACCTTGCGGACAAACTGCGTTTTTCTTCCTCCCTCTCGTCGTCTCAAGTTCCTTCTCTTACAACCACAACCAGAAACCCACACCAATTCTACACATCACTCTTCTGCACCCTCATCCACCTCTTCCTCAGGTGCCGCCGCCTCTCCAGCGCCGCAGCCGCTTTCTCCGCCATGAGAGATTTCAAATACACGCCGGAATTAGCCGCTTGGAACAGCCTCCTTCACCAATTCAACTCTGCAGGTTTGATCCATCAGGTAATGGTTATCTATCAAGAAATGATTTTTTCCGGCGTGGGACGCAATGTAGCTACCAAGAACATAGTGGTTCACTCCCTTTCGAAAATTGGAGAATTTGATAGGGCGCTTGATTTGTTACGAGATAACAATGATTACGAATTCATGAGTGATGGAGTTACTTACAATACTGTAATTTGGGGGTTTTGTAAATATGGGCATGTCGAAATGGGGGTCGGTTTGGTGTCGGAGATAATCAAGAGAGGTGTAGATTGTGATAATTTCACTTGTAATATATTGATGAAGGGATTCTGTGATAAGTGTTTGTTGGAAAATGCTAAATCGGTTATGGAAACGTTTTGCGGCAACGTAAATCGAGATGTTGTGGGGTTTAACACATTGATAAATGGCTACTGCAAGGCTGGTGAGGTGAATAATGGTCTTCGGTTGATTGAGAGTATGGTGAAAGACGGTGTTTTACCCGATATTATTACCTACAACACTTTGATCAACGGTTTCTGCGAGATCGGAGATTTCGATAGTGCCAAGAATCTCATGGATAATCTCTTAAATTTCGATAATGGTTCGGGATATGATAAAGCAAATCATATCACGTATACTAGTTTGATCAGCGGATATTGCAAGCAGAACCAAACTGAAGAAGCATTGGCTGTGTATAAGGAAATGATTGCGAATGGAATTGAATCCGATGTAGTTACACATTCTTGCATTATTAACGGACTTCTTAAGAGTGGGCGATTGGCCGAGGCTAAAAACCTATTCCACGAGATGGTAAGAAATGGTGTCGATCCGAACCATGTTACCTACACAAATTTAGTTGATTTTTGCCTTAAAAATCGTAGTGTGATGGCAGCTTTTAGCTTACAAAGTCAGATGGTGGTTCGTGGGATTAAATTCGATGTGGTGGTGTTTACTGCATTGATCGATGGACTCTTTAAGAATGGGAGGACGAAAGAGGCTGAGGACATGTTTCGTAATCTCTTAGAGTATAATTTAGTGCCGAATTGTACCACGTATTCTGCATTGATCAACGGTCTCTGTAAAATAGGTGATATGAAGGGTGTGGGGTCCGTACTGCAGCAAATGGCGGAGAAAAATGTTCTGCCGAATGTGGTAACTTATTCTTCGGTAATTAATGGTTATGTGAAAAGCGGAATGCTCGAGGAAGCTATTAATATACTGTGGAAAATGATATGCGAAAATGTTATGCCAAATGCTTTCACCTACGGTTCATTGATAGATGGCTGTTTGAAAGCTGGTCAAAAGGAAACTGCTGCAGGTCTCTACGAGGATATGAAAAAACGAGGGGTGGAAAATAATATTTTTGTATTAGATGCTTTTACAAACAATCTGAAGAAGGAAGGAATGATGGATGAGGCAGAGACGTTGTTTCAAGATTCGATTTCCAATGGATTGTTGCCCGACCGTGTTAACTACACAAACTTGATGGATGGACTTTTCAAAGCGGGTAAAGAATCTTCGGCGCTTAAAGTCGCGGAAGAAATTACAGCTAAAAATATCGGGTTCGATATTGTTACGTTCAATGCTTTGCTTAACGGGTTGCTTAAACTCGGCCAATACGACGTGCAGTCTATTTATACGGGGCTACAAAAATTCGATTTGGCTCCGGATCATGCTACGTTTAATACGCTAATCAAGGCGTGCTGCAGGGAAGGGAAATTGGACGACGCTCTGAAGATTTGGAATGAAATGAAAAGTTACGGAGTAAAGCCTAATTTAATAACTTGTAATATTTTGACTGAAGGGCTCTGTGAGTCGGGTGAAGTCGATAAGGCGATGGAATTATTGAACGAGTTGTCGATTTCCGGGTTTTATCCAACGGCAGTTATTCACAAAACGGTGCTTAAAGCTGCTTCAGAGACTAAAAGGGCCGATGTTATTTTGTCGATGCACGAAAAGCTTGTGTCGATGGGGCTTAACTTGAATCTCGACGTGTATCAAAACCTTATCAATGTTTTATGTGGACAAAAAATGACAAGAAAAGCAACGTCCGTATTACAAGAAATGAGAGAAGCCGGCTTTCTTGCAGATACTGTTACTTACAATGCGCTGATTCGAGGACATTGCAGAAGCTCTCATTTAGACAAGGCTTTTGCGCTTTATTCTCGTATGTTGACCGAACGAGTTTCTCCCAATATTACAACGTACAACATTCTTCTAGGTGGATCTACAGAATCTAGGTCAATGGATAAAGTGAGTGATATCCTTTCAGAAATGAAAGAGAGGGGCTTTATTCCAAATAGTACAACGTACGACGTTTTGGTTTCTGGCTATGGAAAAATCGGGAACAAGAAGGAATCCATAAGGCTTTACTGCGAAATGATAACGAAAGGGTTCGTGCCTCGGCTCAGCACCTACAACTTACTTGTAAATGATTTTGCCAAAGTGGGGAAAATGAAACAGGCGATGGAGCTCT